CTCATATACAAGTGCCTTTATGAGTAGACTTGGGATAAACCTCAAGTATCTTTGGTGACTCTAACAAGCTAGTTGAACCTCTCCTCAAGAATCACCACACCATGGGATACACCTTCAGAGGAGAACAGTGTGTTGCAACCTCAACACACCAAACCACAAGGAGTTTTCCATCAGATATACAGTTGTGGAACACAAACCAGAAAACTCCTCAACAACCTTGCACAAACACACCATACTCCAGGTGCAACAGGTTAACCTAGGTTTGAAAATAAATAAAACCCTCAACACAGTAGCTTACCACCAAAGCTACACGCTTGAAAACAACACAGATAGGTCCAATACACACTCTGTCATGATCATTCCATCCTCCACTTCTAGGGACCATTCAAACAACAATATGAATTTTCCAAGTTCAAATAGCTTTTCAATAATAACCTCCTTCCTTGCACATGACCAGAAACTATCTTCTCAGGATCTCATCGAGAACAAAACAGAATGTCTGCTCTGATACCAAAAGAAATTTTGGTATAAAAGAACTCGGATGTTATATAACATATTGGGACATCTGATCTTACTTAAACAAATAGGAAAGGTATAAACATACAAAAAAGTACTGAAAAGCATAAACAACACACTAGAATTGTTAACCCAGTTCGTAGCAACTCTCTTATTCTGGGGGCATACCAAGCCAGGGACAAATCCATTATGATAGTATCAATATGAAGCTAAACTTATCCATTTATAACTTCTCACTTAATCACTACTCATGCTACATTTTTACCTAAGACTCACCTGGGTATGATGCCCTCCTCAATCCCTCATCAATCATAGACAGCGTTTGGATACAAACAATTTTGAACAAACAGGAAGACACACTTCAATGACAGTACCTAGTTAAGACTCAAAGCTAAACTCCCATGTTTACAACTTTACTCCTAACTAAGAACACAACTTGGAGTTTGCTTAAAAGCTTCCTCCAAGAACAATACTCAACTCATTACCTACAAATTTTTGAGTGAGAGCATAGTGACCATCTCACAATCCGAGTGATTCACATATACAAAGCCTTAATGATCTATATCTTGGACCCGTGCCAAATTAGGTTACAAACCCTTCTATTTATAACATATTCCCAACTGGACTTGGGCTTCTAATCATAGCATATTAGTTGTTACAAATCAGCAGAAACTTCTGCAACAAACAAGACCTTAAATCATTAGTTTCCTAAAATATCTCCATATTTAGAAACTGCATAATCTTCAATATTCTAACTTGATTCTCTTGACCTTTAAATCAGCGTCACATAGGATTACATGATATTCCTAGAATATTTTGCATCAGTTAAATCAACATAATCTAATTGTCCACTTCAACTTAGGCGTGATGTCGTATACTCCTTCATATGACATCTTATACAACATGTTGTTCCAGATGATGAGAACTCCTCATCTTAACATGTCTCAACATAAGATAGGATTTCTTGCTCAACTTGTTCTTGTTAGCAAGTTAACATCTCCTATCTAACATATTGTTTTCTTATTGTTTTACAAAAATTAATGTCAATCCTAAAAATAGAGAATTAACAAAATAAACGAGGAGGGTTCGGGGACGGATACTAGTGTCTCAATTACCCGACCCATTCTCATATTTTGTAATCAGAAAAAACCCAAATCCATTCAAAATGGGTTTTCCCCGTCAACTTCAGGACGGGTTCTAGTGGGTGCCCGCGAGTACGGATTTTGTTTCTATTCCTAAGTGATTTGAATCATCATGTATGGGATTCAAGTCATACACATAAATTTTCAATACATTAAATTGATATTTTTTTCACTCATTTCATTCAGATATGTTCATTAAGTTCTCTCTAACATATATTACTACCTTCGTCCCTAATTATAAGACTCTTTTGAGTTTTTTGTCCCTTTTTATAAGACTCTCTTCAACTTTTAAAGTGCATTAATTATTTTTTCCAAACATACCCTTAATTAGTACATATTTTTCTGCAATCTATAATAAATACAGTTATAAACATATTAACTATTTCTCTCTCTTTAGGATAAACTTGTAAAATTATACAAAATAGTTAATAAAATTATTAATCTAACAAATTTTCTTAATTCTCACAATTTATCCTACGAGATCTTATATTTAGGGACGAAGGTAGTATATTATAAGGTTAAAGTTGAATTTCACTTGATAAAAAACATTAAGTGATTAATGTCGAGATGTTTAGATAAATTTCTTTGTAGACGAGTTTTCATTGATATTGATTGAGGGTGTTCAATCATATCTGAAGTGAAGAAAAAGAAGCAAAATATTTTCATCTAAATTGGGAACTGGAGATTTTTTTAGTGTAGATTGGTCATGTTGTGAAGAAATCAAATCAATAAAGGTTTGAAGTTTGAAGGAAATGCTTCAAGATTAAAGTTAGACAGATTCATGGTGAATATTAAAGATTAAATTTTGAAGGTTTTGAAATTTTAGATTTTCAAGATTTAACAGAAATTATAGACAAATTGATTCAGAAGGTGTTAGAATCATTGAAGTTAGGTGTGACAACAAAATCAAAATCCGTATATGTGGATATCCATTCGAATCTGCCTCAAAGTTGACGGGAAAAACTCATTTTGATTAAGTTTGATGGGCGGGTCAGATAATGTGAACAGTAGTACCCACCCCCGAACCTGTCTCGTTTATTTTATTATGTTGCTTATTATTTTTGATAATTTAAAATATTAAATATGTGGTCAATATTTTGATAATTTATATTTATTTGAGATTTTTTATTTTTTTATATTTAAAATTGATTTTACTAAATGGATGGTGGCGGTGCGGGAATATTCGAATCCGTTTAAAATAAATTTAGATTTTAATTCTTCATTCTCGTTTGGGTTTGAGACGGAGAACGGATATTGTTTGAAAATTCGAATTTGAGTTTGGTAAAAACCGCCCCCAACCTGTCTCGTTGCTCATACCTAATTGGAACCGGGAGTTTATGTTGTAATCCATTTTTCAAACAAATATATATACTAGTACAAAATTGAAAAAATTCCCCCACATTTGAGGGGCTGAAATAGACCACAAAAAATAACAAACGTGGTTGAATTAATATTCAATCCACTCTTTTTTAAGTGTTATTTTAGCATAAAGTTCTTCAATCAAGATAGTGAATTGTTAGAATTATTTTTTTTATTATATTCTTATTTATTTTCTCTTTTCAAATAAATTCAATCACACATTCTTTTTTCAATAACTAATTGAAAAAATAATTAATTTTATGAAAAATGTGAAGTAGAATTATTGAGAAAATAAAAATATAATTGACAAATTATAACAATAAACTATAAAACAACACTTATAATGAAACAAAAAAATTCTTCTAAACCTACACTTAAGAAGAAATAAAGGGAGTATAAATTTAGTGTCTTTTATATGAACCTTAATTTTTTTAATTCTTCAATTTTATGTTAATATAATTTGTGACTCTTAAAAAAGGAAATTTTATACAGTGAACAATGCATAGAGTATGTGCCAATTTTTATTTTTTAATAAGACACCTAAAAGAACTACATCCAAAAAAAATTAAAATAAAATATTAAATTTTGTCATTTTTCTGACTAATTGAAAAAAAAAAACTTAAAATTGACATCACTTTAGTTACAAGCAAATAGTTAATCAAATTTATATCACCTATGTTTATAAACAAATAGTTAATCAAATTAACATCGCCTATATTTTCAAGACAGAGATATTCCACCTATGTTTATAAACAAATAGTTAATCAAATTAACATCGCCTATATTTTCAAGACATCATCTAAGAAAATGTATTGATATGTTAAGATGGCGGCAGTCATATTTAGGGATGTAAATTGATATACATGGGATATTATGATATTTGTATCTGTTTCATTGCATAAATATGATATTCATCCCATATCGATATCTATTAAATGGATAATCTGTAGATTTTACGATACCCACGTATATGTTCCATAGCATAAATATGATATGCATCTCATGTCGATATCCATTAAATGGATAATCTGCAGATTTTACGATACCTACATATATTTTCAGATATTCATGAATAATATTATTTTTTTACAATTATTTTTTTTTGAAAAAAAAATATCTTTAACTTCTCTTAAAGATACAAAAAATTATTATCACATAACATCCATCACATTGACTCGACGGGTTAGGACGACATTGGCTCGACGGATTATGGCGATATTAGTTAGTTGGACGGTGAAATTATTTAAATGAGTTATGGAGTATTGAAGAAGTTTAAATATAAAATGCTAATATAATTTTTATAGAATGTAAAAGGTTTTATTTAAAGTTTTTTTTTTTAAAGAAATATAAGACTTTTTTTTAGAATATGAAAAAACAAGGTATAGTAGACTAATTCAAATAATTTTTATAATTTATTAACGGATACGGATATCCGCAAATATGGATATCATTAAACTCACATCTATATTCATTAACAAATATTTAAATATTCATTTATTTTATCAGTGGATATCTATTACCCGTCCCATATCCATGACAGATTTTTTTATCCCCGGGTACGGATATTTTTTCTATCCCTAGTATGACTTTGCTCAACAAACAAATAACAAGCTACTGTAACTATTAAATTGCTTTTAAGAAATACTACATCAAAATCTGATTTCTTTTATGATTAGAAAAAGTAAGTAGCGTGTTGCCGCACAGATTCACATCAGTGGTTTTCCCAATAAGATGTAAGCTAAACATATAAGCAAAGAAAGAGATAAACAAAAATAAATTGACAATGGATCTTTTGCCATATCTTAAGAATGCATTAATAATTCATCCGCAACTATATACAGTATTGAGAACTATGAGTAGGCCATTGGGTCTATATAACAAGGGTTCAACAATGTAAACATAAAACATAAAACTGCTATTAAATTAAACCTTTATGAAGTCTCAAAATTGGGTTTATCAAGAAAATGTAGCAGCCAAAGGCAACTATTCCAACGGCTTGTTGCTTACTGTTGATGAAGACAGGAATTTGTCACAGTCCTTGGCTCCAACTTGTTTAAACTCTTTAACAAGCATATCCACATACGCAGCTAAAGAATTCTTAAACTCCTTTGAGCAGCTCTTGTCACCCTGATCAACATCCTGAACTCCACCTTTCACCAAACAACCAACTTGAGCACCATCCCTGTATGCTTTACAAGCCACTAAAATATCCTGAGCTCGGCTGCAGAAGTGCCCCTTAACAAAGTCCTCAAAACTCTGAGAAACAAAAAAAAAACCTAAATAGTCAGTTTTATCTCAAAAGTTACAAGTTACAAAGCAATAGTATACAAAGAAACAAAATAAACTCATCACATATTATATAACCTGGCTTACCAATCAATCATAACAGCGGTAAATAAATTTTAGTGTATAGTTAGAGAAACCTAATGTGATATATTGAGTGAGGGAAAGATAGCCAAGAGTGTTTAAGTTACCATCACATATCTCCTTCCCAATATGCTTTTGTGTCTGCTATTTCGTACCCATTCCAAAAACTATACAGGAAACACTTTCTCACATAGGATGGCGTCAGATTACAATTGATGAGATGACAATCTAGAGTTTAACCAGACTTGGACACGAGTCCCTCACCTACAGAGAAATCTATTGTTGGTTGACGCAGGACCAGGTGGTCAGATCGCTTGAAAGATTGTTTTGTTGCTAAAGGCTATACACAAATTTTCAATTTGGGTTATGGCGATACTTTTTCTCCAGTTGCAAAGATGACTTTCTTATCAATGGCCGCCATGCACAATTAGCCTCTCTATTGTTGGTTGACGCAGGACCAGGTGGTCAGATCGCTTGAAAGATTGTTCTGTTGCTAAAGGCTATACACAAATTTTCAGTTTGGGTTATGGTGATACTTTTTCTCCAGTTGCAAAGATGACTTTCTTATCAATGGCCGCCATGCACAATTAGCCTCTCTATTAGTTGGATATCAAAAATGTTTTCTTACATGGTGATTTAACCAATGTATATTTGGAGCAACCGCCAGGGTTCATTGCTCAGGGTCCATTGTATTGTTTAAACATGCGGCTTCACCATTAAACTTTCTCCTTTTCTTTCATTTAACATGGTACAGAGAGAAAGTCTACTGAAAAGAAACCCTACAACACACATACATACATAATGGACCCACCGTCCTTCGGTGAAAATTTGAGATTTTTTTTATAAACAGTCAATTGCGACTTTTTGCGCCAAACTCCCACCCCATCAAAGTCACACAACCCCAATTTATCAGACCCCAAAACGTCAACCATAGTCGTGCCTACAGACGCTCTCATGCACACTGCTCGCTTATTGCATGCAGAACACGCTTGGCAGGGTGGTCCTTTTCCAGTGATTTCTCCTTGTAGTAGACTTGAATTCCAGCAAGACCACTCCCATTCCATTTAGACCATATTTTGTTCTACTACTCTGAATATGCCGCCCTTCAATGTTCCAATTACGTTGCTGTTTTTTGGTCTTTTGTTTACTGACCATGGCTAGTTCTGGATCAACAGATTCCTCTGAGGCTAATGCTCCCAATTATTAGCCTCCCATTTATACTAGTTATGTCACTTCTCCTTTCTCCAATAAGAAAATGGATGGTACTAAAGTTGTTGAATTTGTGATTTTGAGCGTGTAATAGATATATTCACCTCTATTTATAATAGAGTATAGAATAAATACAATAAATACTAATTGATATTATTAGAATGTATTAGAGAAATGTAGGTTAAGCACTACAAACTCTTGTACTGACTGACAAGTGTCAGGATTAGCAGTAGATGACCTGCTATAGCAGGTCACACAGTTTGCAACTATAAATGCAACTGTGATTCACTATTGTAACTAACTTTTCATAATATCAAAAATCAGTTACAACTGAAAATGAATAGTTCTGTTCGATCCATGGCGTCATCTACTCCCCCGGGATCGCCTACTACTTCCACTCATGTTGCAGTTCTTGCTGAAGATCAAGCACAAGCTTGATGAGAAAAATTTCCACCTCTAGCGTCAGCAAGTGGAACCCTATATCAACGCCCACAATTTCACTGAACTCGTTGTCTGTACTCGATAAAACCTATTTGTCATCCACACCTCACATGTGAGTTGGTTAATGAGCAGGCTTAGTGTTGCATATACACAGCGTCTCTATGGATTATTGAATGTCATTGCATTTGCACCGGAGAAGATTTATGGTTTTATTTCTTCTTATAATTTTAATGAGCCACTATCTCCTGCAGCAAGTGCCACAGTTAAATAGAACAAAGGTCTTGAGCAAAGCATCACCTTCTTTCTGCACGCTCTTTACCTTTACAGTTTACCTTTACCTTCTTCGGATTACAACTAAACCCCTTAGTAAACCCCCACTGAGATCTTTGTTGCCTTTACTCTCATGCTGCCCTTACACGAGAAGAACCATCCACCTTGAAACCTCATCCCAAATGTGAGCACTATTATCATTGTCTAGGACATAATCGCTGGTGAAAATTGGATGGCCTCCCTCCACGCCATGTAAATAAGACACTCGACCACATATACTTTGTAGGGCTCTTCGGCAAGAGAACTATGAAAATCCTCAATCCACTGTTTCAGTTGTGCACACTGGTGGTTCATTTTTCAGCATCTCTCGGACCTTCCTCGGGACCATAGGTTCTTGATTTTGTCCTTCTCTATATATATTTTATTATTTACCTCTAGTAATTTTAGCCAATAGTTTCAAAACCCACTATCCAAATCCTCCCTTCTCTGCCCGTTGCATTTGTCCTGTATATGCTTGGATGTCCACGTAATATAAACTCTATCAGTCAATTGAGTTGTGTAGGGAAGTCTCACATTAGTTAGGAATATAGAGATTTGAGCATTTATAAGTGAGAAAATCCACACATATGAATGAGTGAGTATGTGGTGTGTCTCTCACAAAAGTGTGTTCCTCAAAAGAAAAGTCCCCAAGTGTAAAGATCCGAATTGCCCCAACAAATTTTTTTTAAGAATAAAAACATATTACCTATTACTTTTATTCATTTTTATAAAAAAAAATCCATGCACAATAATAAATTAGAAATAGTGAAAGTGAAAAACAATTACTTTTTCCACTTATTTTATACAATATTTTCATAAATGATCTAATTAATATAAAAATATCGACACATGATTTTTTTTTGGCTGTTTAACACAATATCATAAAATAAATATTTGTCCCTCACATTTTTGTAGACTTGAATTTGTTGAGCATTTAGCTCCCAAAAGTTTTCATGATTCCACCAATATCTAGAAGAATTACATTGCGAGATATTAGTACTTTGAGATTGACAAACCATTGATGACAAATCCTTTGTAGTGAGCTTGAAAAGATGCATCATTCCGATTAATTGGAACTCCACCAAAATCTAATGGACTTATTGTTGCATCAATCATCATTGCCTTTGTGAAATATATCCATCTTTTATTTGTTATATTCTTAAACACTCTTATACGGGATTTCATCCCAAAAAATACTAATTGTTTTTCATTCCAAAGAAATGTGCAGTAATGAAAGGAGTTGGATCAAACCAAAGATGAAATTGTAAAGGAGTTGGATCAAACCAAAGATGAAATTGTTGCTCTCTATTACAATGTCCATTAGTAAAAATGTCTGTGTGCAATATATAAAGTTGTTTGTTATTTCCCCCTAAGAATTCAAAGTCTATTTCATTTTGAGTAGTTCATCATTTGAAATCAAATAAAAAGCTGTGATCACAACGGTAGAATCCTTTTGAGGCATTTTAATTTTCATGTTAAACAATTCAGAACCATATTATTGGGCAGAGGTAACACCAGAACCTGAATGTTGATATAATGTAAGTTGAACTTCATTGCCTTTGTGAAAAATTCTCACATTTTCTTCACCCTATCTGCTTAAATGGAATATTGTCAACTTTTATTTCATATATTTTGTTTTCCTTTTTCTCATTAAAAAAGTCAGAATGTGTTTCTTTGGTCTATCATTTTTATTATTGCCTTGTGTTCTTTCCCATTACATATAAAATTTGATAGTTTAGACAATATCCCATTTAAGCTGATATGGAGAAGAAAATATGAGAAGTCTTTACCATGACAATAAAGTTGAACTTACATTGGATTAACATTCAGGTTTTGGTTTTACCTCTGCCCAACGATATCGTCTGGATTGTTCAGCGTGAAATTTAAAATGCCTCAAAAAGCATTCTACCACTGTGATCCCAACTTTTTATTTGATTTCAGATGATGGACCTACTCAAAATGAAATAGACTTTGAATTCTTAGGTGGAAATAACAAACAACCTTATATATTGCACACAAACATTTTTACTAATGGACATTGTAATAGAGGGCAGCAATTTCATCTTTGGTTTGATCCAACTCTTGACTTTCATAACTCCACATTTCTTTGGATATGTTTTGTGGATCAAATCCCTATAAGAGTGTTCAAAACTTTTCTGGTGGAAATCCAATTAAATGGAATGATGCACCTTTTCAAGCTCACTACAATGGTTGTCAAACTCAAAGTACCAATATTAATGTAATTCTTCTAGATAATGAAAACTTTTGGGAGCTAAATCCTCAACAAATTCAAGCTTACAAAAATGTGAGGAGCAAGTATTTATCACCAACCACAAAATCCTGAATGTCAAGATTTTTATATTAATTAGATCATTTATGAAAATATTGTATATAAGTGAAAATGGTAATTGTTTATCACTTCCACTATTTCTAATTTATTATTGTCCATGGATTTTTTTATAAGAATGAATAAAAGTAATAGGTAGTATGTTTTTGTTTTTATTTTTTAAAAAACAATTGTTGGATCAAATGAAGGGTATTAAAAATAAAGAAGGTAAAGTTTTCATTTGGAAAAAATCCATGGATATAAAGGATGAGAGATAAAATGAATTGCGTTAAGGATGAAGGTGAAAAATTCTTGCATATAGAGGCATCGAGTGGTTGACCAAACTTTTTAACAAAATTATGAGGTCAAAATAAATGTCGGATGAATGGTGAAAAAGCAAGTGAGTTTCAACCTATAACAAAGGAGATATACAAAATTGAGTAAATTATATATAGGGAGGTTAATCATATGTGTAACACCACATTTTCTAGAAATTAATTTATTTGATTTAATTATAATTTTGTGGTATTTATTTAATTATTCATTGTGGTTAATTAGATAAGTTGCAGAGTAAAGGTGTGTGATCATATATATGGTGAGGTGTAGAGTAATTAGAGATTGTAGAATAATTGAGAATTATTTTATTAATTTAAAATAATTATTCAATTTTATTAATTAAATAAAATAATAAGAAAATAGAGGTTATAGTAACATTGAGGACAAAGTGGAAACTAGAGAGGAACTTAAGAGCGAAGTAGTAATTGAATGGATTAAATTAAAGGTCAAATAGGCGAAGAAGGATTAAAAATTAAAATAAAAAGAAAGCATTGGGAAGTTGAGTTTGACAATACATGAAAACAAGTTTGGAGAGTTAGGGCATAGGAGGAAGCACATTGAAGGCTTGAAGGAATTGCTGAAAAAACCTAAGGTAAGGATGGGTTATTGCATTTTTAATGACGATTGGTATGGGATAGAGTAGAGAGATGGATTTAGAAGTGTTAGATTGTGTTCTTATATTGATGTCTTGATGAATTGTGATAAATGTTGATGAATCATGATGATTTAAGACTGAATTTATGCTAATAAATTATTATTTGTATGCTTTGATTGAATTGTCATGGTGTGTTGTTATCATGTTGTTGAATTCTTGAAATTGGAAGTGAATATGAGCATTCTAGGGTATGAATTGTAGTGATGAATTTATGAGAAATACCATGAGATAAGTTGAATAAGTAACGCTTGATCTACTAATGTAGTGAAACCTGAAATTTTGATTTCTTAAGTGACTAAATTGGGACTAATATGTGTATGAGAGAATAGAAATTGTTTCAGAAATCATAACAGGAAAAATTCTTTTTTTTGGAAAATGTTATAGGTGCAATGGATTGCACTATATTGCAATGGAATGCACTCTGTGAAGTTTGGAAAAACAAAAATGTTATAGGTGCAATGGATTGCACCATAGTGCAATGGATTTCACTGAGTGATTTTTTTTGGAAGAACCGACAACTACAATAGATTGTCTATTAAGATCAACCGATTGCATCATGAAATTTACAACAGTGGCTACTTTGGAAAAGCTACAATCGATTGCCTATTAACGTCAATCGATTGCAGTATGAAAAATTACACACAGTAGCGATTTTGGAAAAAGTACAATCGATTGTAGGATAAGTACAATCGATTGTCATCAACAAATTTTTAAAATGATTTTCTTTTTTTTTTAATTGTGACATACCTTAACGTTTTACCTCATGATTTTTGATCCGTAAGTCTGATTTAGGTAGCGTTAGAAAGCTAACGAACAGGACTATAACATGAAAATGATTGGTGGATTGTTTGATTAATATTTTGGTGTCTATTATAGGGAACATATGTGTGTTGTTGTTGTTGCATGCTAAGAGTCCATGCATCCATGTTGTTGGAACTTATGTTCTAAATTTTATTGTGGCCTCGATCTTGTGGTGATGGATCGAGTACAAGTAGCTAACTCTTCTGTCCGAGGAATTAGTGAAGCGTTACCTATGGTGATGGTAGCGATTTGGTGTCCTCTGGTTCCAAGAGAGAATTGATCCTATGGTGGAGATCGTGGAGTGAAATGAACCTTAGTGTTCATAATTTTAGTACCACATGCATGATGAGTCAAGTCAAATATTGAGTCCATTGCATTGTGTTGCATTGCATGTTGTAGATAATATGTTGTTTAATGATTCATTAAAATGTTGTTGTATGTGATGATTGAAAGATGAATGTAGGTGTGAGAATATGTTGTGATGTGATGTATGATTATGTACATGTCGTGATTCATCTTATATCTTATATCTCATATCTTTTATTGTTGGATGTGATTTCTCACTCCTTGAATGTTGCCTCCACGTGGATAATGTGCAGATACTCAAGAGTAACTTGCTGAAGTAAGGATGATAGCTCGTTGGAGTATTTGGTACTTACCGTTAATTTAGAGGTGTCTTACTCTGATATGTAACATCGGGTTAGGAACGCTTGATTGGGTTTTTTTCGTTATAACTATGTTGAAGCCTTTGCAAGAATTTTTTATTGTTGAACTATTTTTATTTCAAATCTTTTATGAGACTAGAAGTCGTTTGAAAGTTGAGAATATTTATTTAATGATGATTTCCGCTGCGATGTTTTTAATATAATGTTGAAGTTGCATAAATATTATGAATATGCATGTTTATGAAAAGTTAATATTATTTCTATAACTCATGTTACGGAGCAAGATTGGTTTATGTGTTTATGACGTGTAACACCCGTGTGTGGTGATTCCAATTAAATTATTCGAGAATTCTATGTGGGGCTTAGAAGGGTGTTACAATATGAGTCATACCACGAATTCATGAGAAAGAGTGATTGAACGGAGAATAAGAAAAGAGACTCAAATTACTAATAATCAGTTTAGTTTTATGCTTGGGAACCATAAAAGTGATCCATTCACTGCAACGTATGATAGAGCAGTATTGGATGAATAACAAGATTTGCACTTAATTTCTATTGACTTGGATTCACTGCAACGTATGATTGAGCAGTATTGGATGGATAACAAGATTTGCACTTAATTTCTATTGACTTGGAAAAAGCATATGTTAGAGTGCCTAGGGAGATTCCGTGAAAAATCCTAGAGAAGAAAGGGGTTAGGATTGTCTATATTCGAGTTATTCAAGATATATGAGGAAATGGGGTGCCGACTAGTGTGTCGATGCATGGTTGAGAGATGGACAATTTTTCCATAACAATAGAATTAAACCTACGTTCAACTCTAAGCATTTACGTTTTTACTTTACTTTTGGATGTACTCAAAGATCACAACCAAGAGCTAGCACCGAGATGCATGCTTTTTGCAGATGATATAGTCCTACTTGAAAAGTCAAAGTTGGATTTAAATGAGTTTAGAGTGGAGACAAACCATAAAAACATGACTTTCGCTTAAGCAGAAGTAAGACAGAGTAAACTTATATTTGTTTGTTTGGTACCTTGTATTTGTTTTGTATCTTGACTTCGGTCTTTCCTTCAAAAACAAAGAGTGCAAGTTCAGCAAAAGTCGAAGCCCTAAGGGCGAAAGTTGGAGACCATATCATACCACAAATTATCCTATTTAAAAATATCTTGGATTCATAATACAAAAAGATGGAGAAATAGAAGGAGATGTAAATCATCGAATTCAAATTGGATGGTTGCAATGGAGAAGGACCTCATGAATTTTATGTGACACAAAAGTACCTGTGATGTTTTACAGAACAAAATGTTGGACGGTTAAGAACCAACACGAGAATAAAATAAGTATAGCGGAGATGAGGATGTTGCATTAGATGTGTGGTAAGATTAGATGAAAGCATCTACAATGGAAAATAAACTGAGGTGGTTTTGACATGTAGAAAGAAGACTTATAGATTATGTTGTAAGGAGTAGATCAGATGGAAATGATTCATTTCAAACAACTAAAGATAGAGAAAAACCTAGAAAAATTATAAGAGAACGTATTAAGAAAGATCTCGAGATTAATGAATTGAATAGAAACATAGTCTTTGATAGAACATTATGGTATAATTTGATTTATGTAGTTGACCCCACTTAATGAAATAAGACTTGTTTGGTATTGTATATTGAGTGTTAGTTAAAATAACACACTCATAAATATTTTCCTTAGAGTCAACAAAAGGAATCGTCCTCGTTTGCTTTAATGATCTATGTATTTATTGTATAGGGTTAATATACGGTACCATATCATGTAACAGGAATATAGTATTTTGCAGTGCTGTGTAGTTGAAACTTGAAACACGTTTAAAAGTAAAGACCAGGTGCCTGCCACTGTTCACATGATTTTTCTACATTAATCACAATTCAAGATATAGTATATATACTGGATATTAAACAACTGCTTAGAGGTACTTAAAATAAAATTGCTTAGAGATACTTAAATAAAGACCGTTGTGAATTGTGAATAACGGAGATCCAGTATGTCTAGCTTATATATCACTGGAAGAATATATATTTTGAAGGGGACTGAATCAGAATTCTCGATATCATTTGCCTGTGCTTAGGTGATTGTTCTATAATGTTAAATTATTTTATAAATTAGAGGAGACAATAGCTATCATGATTCTCTTCTAATTCTCCAAAGCACCAAAAGGCACATCAGAAGAATTTCTAGGCATCACTTTGCTGAGGAGCAATGAGTGAACATGACAACTAACAAAAGAAACTATTTAAAACAAAATATATATGAGAATAGATAAAGAGTTGAACGAAGAGATGATTCTAGAATCAAACCTTTGGAGGCCTTCTTATCAGATAAACCATTGTCCGCAATGATAAGAGGAATGTGTCTTCATTATATCGCAGGGATCTTGTTTCACCCTCAGCAGAACCACTCAAACGTGCATATCCAGGCTCATTAAAATAAGGCTTTGTATTCAAGATTAGACCTTGTATGGAGACCAAGACCTGCAAAATTGTCGAAACACCTGGGAGCCACTTCTCATTCTTATTGCCAGACCAGGTGTTAAGTAGACTAAGGCACACCTTGCCACAATTATATAAATTTGGGTTGAGCCGAAGTCCACCAGAGTGGTAGTAGACTCGCTACATTGAAAAATGTCCCTTGAGTCAGACTTTGAATTAAAGGTTAAAAGTGGTTGACATAATAATACTGCAAGTCAGATGCAGTAATCTCAACAACATACCGGGGGTACATTGGGAAAGCCATTTGGAAAGGAAACATCAAAAAAGAAAAGGCCATCATGATAAGGAGTTCCCTCTGCTCCAATAATCACAGCCCTCAACAGATCTATTCTTGATTCATAAACTCTGACAAATATTGAATCTAATAGAAATAAAAGAAAATGTCAAAGAAACAGCTAGAGATTGTACAAAAACTCAGTGACAGGTTGCTCATTATGATATTGAAAACACAATTTACAATTTTACAGATTTTCGAACCTCCAGCTTCAGAACAAGTATCTATCTCTACCAAACAAAAGAAAGACAACAACTATTTTATAAGGTTGTACACTTAACAAATGCAGCCAAACTAATGGCCTTTGGGTTTGACAAAAACCGCCACGGTATATTAAAAACAATGAAGTCAAACACACAATAAAGATCCTCCAGCTTTAAAAATAACAAATACAAAAAAGTGCTATAAGGAAAATGTTACAGCCAATAAAGGGGTAACCAAGGCTACCCCTTTATGTTACAGCCAATGCGAGACAAAAGTACTGAACAAACAACTTTACCTGGTAAATCCTTCTCCAATAACTTCCATTCTTCCTGAATTCTTTTCACCCAATTCTTTGAATGCTGCTCAGGAAACAAATTAATGGTTAAACAATATAATTAAGATTAAAACTGGAATAAAACACATTTAAAAAAATTTACCTGTGTCGTGGAAGAATTGGTGTGAACATAGTGATGGTCTGAAGTGTCGTCAATGGTGTCAAATTGCTTAAAGTTTCTAAATTTCTCAAGAATTTGCTCTCTGGCTTCATCAGATATGGTCACAACAGTACTATCAGCAGTTGTGCCATTATCTCCATCTCTTGCAGTATTGTGAACCCAAGGGTTATTGAACATTTGCTCAGGTGTGGTAGGAAGAGGAACGAATGGATTGAAAAAACCTGGATAAGGTGTATAATTTGGAAATGGATTAAAATGAGAAGAATTCAACCAAGGATTTGCAAATTCAGTGCCTGGAAAATGAAATGGTCCATTTACAGGTCCATAGAAATTTGAATGATGTGAACTGATACTTCCAGTTCCAGCTGCTTTCTTTGCACTTTCAAGTAGTTTCCAATGAGGTGAACCACCTCCATGAGGCAGCTTCATGACCCCTGAGTTGTCTACAGAGCCATGGTTAGTTGAAGAACCAAAATAATAAGGCTTCTTTTTACCAGAAGCTCCCAAAGACAAACTAGATGTAGATGACTCCACTCCTAATGCCAACTTTAACTTGCGTCTCCTGCTCTGTGTGGCATCAATTATTTTCTTACTAGGGTCAAGTGGAGAAAATAATTGAGAAGATAAGTGATTTTGCACACTAGAACTACCTACTGCAGGTCCATGGGTTTCATGCTTAATAGGCGCAAATGACCATGCAGGCTGAAATAAGCCATTAACTTGAGAATTTTTTGAATCAGATTGCGGAATATGAAAGCTAGGATAGAATAAACTACTTTCAGCGTTCTTAGAATTTGGATCATGTTCCTTCAACCAAGGAACAGGTGCTTCAATACCAGGAGGTATGTTTGCATTGTCAAAATGCTCCTGTAGTAAAGCATAATTATCTACATCCATATAATCATCCGGAATCAAATCACAGAAGCCATCATCATCGTCGTCATACGAGTAATCAGACTCATCCCCGTCAATGTTGATTAAGTTATTTGATACAGAAGTATAACCATTGGAAGACTCTACCCTACTGCTTGGTCCAGATTTGTCAATCACAAGCGGATAATATTTATTATCGAAGTCTTCCTGAAAATGGTTTCAAGAAAATTTTAGTCATTGTTAACGATAGAGACAATAATATCAATCAGCTACAAGAAAGAAGTCTTATTCACAAACCACAGTTTGATGATCACCATAACTGTTGTGAACAGATTCAGTTATCTTCCCCTTGTTATTTTCAGCAATGTTTTCACCAATTAACACTAGATCTGTTGAGTCATCATCGTTGTCGATGTCAATCACATCCCGAAAAATGACCTACAGAAGAATAATATTGTTGTGATATCCGAGAATATAACAAACATAGAGAAACCATTAAATCTTAGAAAAACAAGAGTGCAAGGCAAGTTAGAACTAAGAGCACAGGTGTGCTTTAGATGTGTAAGTAAAGGACATAAATGATCGGAATAAACGTATTCAACATTGGTTAATGGCTTTATGGCAAAGACTAAAGGGAAATAGGTAGTGTAACAGAAAAACTATGGAAACTAATTTCAAGTGAATATTCAACCAACCCATGCAATTTCCTTGACCCTGATAACCAAAGTAAGCATCAGCATACATTTCACTGCACATAAAAGTGGCATTTGTCATCAACAAACAATCAGATCAATCAGTCAGGGGATGAAAAACCTCCTATGTATAATGAGGAAATAACAAAGTGTCATCCGATTGATCAATAAGAAACAAAGTCAATGTGGAAATGCTGGTAAAACACGCAGCCTCTCCACCAATTTGAACAAGCAATTCAGCCCACTTTTTCCCCCTTGATATCCTTCTTTACGTGTGTTGCAGAATTGTGTTGTCACATTTCCTGATTCTTCTTCAATCTTCACCATTGTTGTCTATGGCAGATTGCGGAAAATTGCGGCGAGGCAAAAATCCGCCATAAAAATATGGCGGATGGCGGAACAGAAAATTGCGGAAGCATGGCAGACGAACAAAAAACATTATTATATGCTCACAAAAACAGTAACAACATCAAAAAAACAAAAGTCATAAACTTAGAAAACTTAATTATATAGCATAGGAAGGAAACTAGAATTCATATATCATGAGTTTAGAAATATTACTCGCTCAAACTCAAATAGATGGGGCAAGTCTTTACATACCTCAAAACATTATAAAAGATATTTTAAAATTTCTAATCTTCATCTCTAACTTCAACATAATCTTCTTCAAAGTTATTATCAAATGGGCGTGCAGAAAAGGGAGAAAATTATAGCAGCTTGCGGAAATAAAAGAGAAAAAACAAATGAAGAAATAAAAGAGAAAAAACTGAAGAAGAGGAGTACCCAATAATTGTTTGAGAAGAGAATAGACATAGAGAGAAGAAGAAAAGTCTATTGAGTGAGAAAGAGAATAGAAATAGAGAGAAGAAGAAAAGTCTACTGATTGAGAAAGAGAATAGAAATAGAGGAAGAAAGAAAGTATGGAGAATAGAAACGTTAGCAACTTGCAGAATGAAAAAGCAGTAGTGTTTGGTTTTATAAATATTTAATTTAATTAGGGCATTGATTAGTATTTAATGATAATTATTAGTATTTAACCACAATTGTTATTATTCTGGGCCATTTTACGGGTAAAAAATATCCAGACAAGAAATATTCAGATTTAAGATGAAAAAAACCGCAATGGCCGCAATTTGACAACACTGATCTTCACCCTTTGTCATTTTTTTTTCTATTCCATTAAACATAGCTCCCTCCATTGTTCACTCCCTCTTTAACTGCAGAGTAGTACTCAACTTTAATTTTGAATTGAATGGTATACTATTTCACTTTCTCCCTTACTCCAAGAATAGTTCATTCATTTCAGACTGTATTGCAATATGCATTCCCATGTGAACTAAAGACGCGTTGCAAACCGGAACACACGCCCTAAATTGCAGTTCAAAGGTGGGTTCAATGAATTTGGTAAAATCAATGTACCAAAAAAAATATTAACTGAGTTCAATCTAAATTGAATTCCCAACAAATGAACCAATTTTTTAAAAAACTTCAACTACTTTTGGTACACCAACAATAACCATGGATATAAAAGAGAGTCTGACAAAAAAAATAGCACATAAAGCAAAGTAAACTGGCATTTTCAAAACAAAATAACACCCAAGATTGACGATGAATCAGATTAAGAAAAGTGATAGCATACAAAGCATGAAATTCATTCAACGAGGAACGTGGTTGTGTTGGTGGTGGTTTGGAGGAGGAACATAGATATTGGAGTGATTGATAAGACAGTCGTGAATTGAACCAAACCAATTTCATAATCCGAAAGGAATGAAAAGTTAAGAAGTAAACCTAAAATAAAAGAGAGAACAGAAAAATGAAAGATTAGAGATGAAGGATACCTCTTTGTGTGGCTTGTTAGTTCGCGGTGGCGGTGGAATCTCGATCACATCAGGGTCCATGAAGCTGTGAGAACTGCTACCGGAATACACAGTCCTTCTGTGACAGAGCAAAAAAGAGTGAGGGTGTGCTTTGAATTTCAAGCGTATGCAAAAAAGAGTGAGGGTGTGCTTTGAATTTCAAGCGTATGCAAAAAAGAGTGAGGATGTGCTTTCAATTTCAAGCGTATGTAGCGGCGATTACAAGAAAATGAAAAAGTCTATAAAGAAAAAGTAAACCGAAACGAGAAAGAGGAACCGACGAGTTGGAACTCTGAAATGAATGTTCAGATAGCGACATCGGCGGCGGAGGCGGCTGCTCAATCGATCGACTCATCAAGAATTGTTGCAAAATTGAATAAACAAGTTGGTCAGAGAAAAATCAGGAAACAAAGACAATGTAATGTCTGTGATGAATGAGTGAATATGTTTCTTATGATACTGCCTTCGCGGGCGGCCTTGTGATGAAGATCAATATGGATTAACACTATTCCGTGTTTTTTACTTCTCACGGACACCTTCTTTTTGTTTCGTTATATCTAAAAAGACACGCTTTTTCTACTAATTTACGTTTTTGCCACTAATGTTTTTGGAACGAACACTCATGGAATCTGATATCTTTTTTCTCTTTTACTATTTCCTATGCGGTCGGTTTTATTTCCATTTCCACTCAAACTAAATATTTTTATTTAAACAATCAAACAAAACTGCTTTCCTCACCAAAACTTTTGTTTTTTATCTATACCGTAATTTAACAGTAGTAATTTTAGAATAATTATTCCAACATTTTTCTGTATAACTAAATATTTGTTGGAAACTCACTAAAATCTATAATGAATTTCTATCACAATAACAATTTAATTATAAGAAAAACAAAGAAAAGAAGACAAGACAAATAATTTCTGCAGAGTTTCTCTCTCTTCACAAATTGTGAAAATTTTATTATTCACTTTGCAACTGCAAATTAGTGTGAATAGCTTGCTTGACTTGCTTATAAAAATAGGGGTTACTCCCTCTAGTTTGTTTGACTTGCTTACAAAAATAGGGATTACTCCCTCTATTTATAACTGAGCTTACACCCTAAGCGCAAAGCCTAAAATATTTATTTTGTTATTATATCAAATCTAATTTATTCTAGACTTAAATCAAATCTATTTAAATCTAAAACAAATCAAATTTTTTCGACACACAGAATTACAATTTAACACACCACCTAATTCATTGTGTCTAAACTATATATGTTCATCATGACTTTTAGTCTTCTGAATACTTCGACTTGCACTCTATGATACGGTGGGAAGAACTGACTGTTTTTTGAAATGCTGGTTTGCGTTTGTGTTCGCAAAATATCCCGGTAAGCAAGAGTTGCCACCGACTTTTATTTTATCCAACAAGGAAAGGAAAAAAACACAGAAAAATTCCTTTTTCGAGATTATCTCTCGGGTTCGGGGGATAGATTATAGAAAGGGAAGGTATTAGCACCCTTTCTATCAGTGGTTATCCACGGGCTCTTAGGTACTTGCTCAATTGTTTTCAAAATTGTTTTCTTTGTGCTTGTGGTTTTGAAAAAGTTTTTGTTTGAAAACTTCGATTTAACTCTTGCTTCTGTCTTCAAGAGCGTATGAAGTGTTTTTGAAAACTTTGTTCGAAAAAAATGTAAGTGTGAAAAGTTTTGTTTTTTTGAAAGAGCAAGTACCTAAGAAACATCTACCTACTCGAAAAAGGAATCGTTCTATGCTAATTTCCTTTAGACAATGTTATCCCACTATGAATGAGTAGGTAGCACTGTCGTTGGAGTTTGAGGGTCAATTCGAATGAGGGACATACAGTCACTAAAGCAATGTTAGGATGCCTTAGCGGTAACCCTAATGTCTTAGATCATTTGTTTGAGGCAATAATATCTGAGGCAACCATTTCGAGGCAACTATGATCTTTTAGACAAGAGGACGACCTCTAAAACGACCTATACTCGATGACTGTGTACGAAGGCAACCAAGTGGGGTGTACCCTAAGAGTGTGCATGTGCGAGTGTGTCTTTTTCAGTTATTTTTATCTTTGCACATGTTAAGGGTGATCTAATTTGATTTTAGAATTAAGCATTCATTCTTGTCATACAAGCCCTATTATCAAACATCTAGCAGTTATAATTTGCAGAAATAAAAATGCGGAATTTAAATTACAAGGCGTCGGGTATTTACATCGCCAAAGACAAACCCTTTTGAAAAATAAAATAAAGCAATAAAAATAATTAAAAGTCCTATTTAACTATTACAATCCGGAAGCAGGTACATTATTGGATAAAAATAAGTAAATCGCGACGCAAAATTAAACCGGGCGCATGATTAGGGTTTTGACCCTTTTGGTTAAAGAAAATATCTTTTTGTTGTTTTTATTTGAAGAAAGAAATAAATCCTAAATTAATTACTAAATTAAATTAATAAATTAATTAATGAAGAAAATAAATTATTTTTGGAGTTTTTGATTATTTAGGAAAGAAATTATAATAATTAAATTAATGGTTAAAAACTAGTTAGGTCTAATTAATTTTATTTATTTATTTTCAAAAGGAATTAAAGTTCTCTAATTAAAACCTAGTTAATTAATAAATTTATTAAGAAAAATGAAAGATTAAAATTTGATTTGAAATTAAAAAAAAAACATTTTTTGTGATTTTATTTTAAAAGAGAATTTTATGATTGGTTAGAAATTAGTAAAAATAAAACAATTAAAATAAATAAACAAAAATAAATAAGAAGAGAGGAGTATTGGGCCTGATTTTAAGGGTGTTAGTAGCAATTTCTTAAGCCCAATATTGCTGGCCTTTTTTGACTTTCTCTGATTTGGTACATGTGCATTGACCAACGCTTCCATGGACCTTCAGACCCTGGCCACCAGATCTGGCCAATGGCCATCTGGCTACTGGATGTATGAGGGAATATGATGGACTGCATATAGGCGCTTGTCTGGGAATACCTGAAAAGGAAAATTATTGAGAAAGTGGAGGACCTGGGATTCGAACCCAGGTCTTGAAGGAGTTTACACTAACACGCTTGCCACCACGCTACACTGCTTTAGTTGTTATTATAATAGAAGCAAATAATATTATATGAAAAACACAATAATTGCCAGAAAAAACAAAAAGCGCGCGTGATATTCAAATTGGCCAGTGAGGGGATGCCACACATCATCCCCAACCTCTAGTCCGTGGCCAAAACCTCAAATACCTATACCAACGGACAGAAGTCTGTAGCTATAGGCATGTCCGTCTCCTAAATCCTGTACAGGCCACAAAAATGGATTTCAAGGGCATGGTTGTGTTCGTCTCACCATCCCGGTCACAACCATGTCCATTATGTGCTTCAATTCTTCCTGAAATAAAAACACCCAAAAACAAGAACCGAACTTTAACAATGGTGGTTCTTCATGTAAGCCAGATAAATGCAATTAAATATTATGAAAAGCTTGGAAAATGCTCTTGTGATCATAAATATGCCAATAGTTTTCTCAAATGATGCAAGAATAAGTCAAATCGATTTCAAGAACAGGGCTATGTTACGTGAGACTTACAGTGCTTGTAGTGGCCTGAAAATGCTTGCTTTTGATCCAAGTAGCTTGTGTGAATGCCCAGGAAGCGATTGGGACAAGTCTTGTCCTCTGAAAATGCCTTTGATCTGGATTTCGACTTCTCACTTTTTTGTGATTTTTTCACTTTTTGTTCTGCCTCTCTCTGCACTTTCCAACCCTTATTTCGTATGCTTTTGCTTGCTTATGTAATGCTCAGTGTATTAGGTCTACAAACTTGGCTCAAATCTTTCCATATCAATGCCTATGAATTGGATTTGATCTCCATTTACAAACTTGCCAAATTTGATTTATTTCAATCTTTTTGCACATGATTTGGTTTGATTCGAATTTGATGATGATAATGATTGTAATCAAAGCCTGAAATAGCCAAAAGATCTTGTGTTACCAAAATATTGGATTTTATATGATTTTATTTGATTTAAAATGAATAAATTCAATTTAAAAATCAAATTAAATAATAAAAATGAAATATGGGCTCATGGCTGAATCTAGGACACGTGGGAAACTATGCAAGCTCAAATCAAGTGGAAAAGAATGGGCCCATTTGACGAAATTTGAAGTTTTAGGGATAGTTGACTTTTGGCAATTTTGCAAAAAAGTCCAACTTCAACAATGCATAACTTCTTCAATTTTGAACTTTTGGAGGTTTTCTTGGACTTTTTAGAAAGCTTGAGGTGTCCTATAACTAACCCTTTTTGTCTCATCTCATTTTGATATTCCATTCTCAAGTTATGAGTTTTGACAAAAAAAGGTGTTTTTGTTGACTTTCAAAAATGACCTATAATGTCCAAATTCATAACTTCTTTTGAGTGCATTTTTTGATCTTGGGGTGTGAATATGGATTGTAGATAATTTCATCCTCTTCAAAATGAGCTTTGGATGGGTCATTTCTCATAAATTATGAGAAAGTTATGCTTGGTCAAAGTTGAGTTGACTTTTCCTACAAAACCCTAATTTAGCAACTTTTGAGTCTTGATGAATTTTGAGAAATCCTTGATGAATCATGATCAACACTTGATCAAATGATGAAATATCCTTTAAAATTAGAATGTTGACAAAAAATCTTGGAGTTTGACTGTTTGTAGGTCACAGTTGACTTTTGCCCTAGTACAGTCGATTTTTGGACCTTTGAGCAATTGACTGAGTAAACTTCCTCTGTAAGGCTTGAAACTTGACATGGATTATCTTGAGAACATATTAGGACATTGGTGAGCACTTGAGGTCATTTGGACTCAAGGATCTTGATGCAACACAAAACCCTAATTTGGGGTTGATTGTCTTAGGAGATAGCTTGTCTGACCAACTCTTGAGCTATTTTGAGCAACTTGGAGATTTTTCTTGCAATGTCTTGAGAAATATGGGAGGGTAAAATTTGGGGTACAACAGCTGCCCATGTTCAATCTTATTAAACCTGAGGATGTAGATTGGATTTCGTGCCTTTCGTGATCCGAAGGTGGAAGATGATTGAACACTAGAGTGCCCAGAAATTTGCACTCGCATGAAGTGGTATCAGCCTTGTGAATGGGCTTAAAGATTCCATTTGGAGATTGCTGGCGGGAGGATGGGCTTAAAGATGCCATCTGCAGGAGTGTCAATCGCATAAGAGATTCCTTAGCGAGAACTTACATACCTGTTGTTGTAGAAGATTCCGCTAGGGAAGTCTGATCTTCGTTGAGATTTAGGAGCTTGCTTGTACTTCAACTGAGAGAACATCTTTGCTGAGTTTTAAGAACTTGTCCGTAATTTAACTGG